TTCTCGCGCGAGCAATTAGAAAATTTTCTTTTATTTCATGTTCGATTTTTCCATAGCATCGTGTTAATTTCTTCTGTCGCCGAATAATAAAAAAATCCATGCGACATTCAAAACAATCGCCGGAAGATAAGAAAATACTACAGAAGAGACGAGCCAGCCAGGATTTACCAGGAGTTTGTTACGAAATGTTTGTATAACAAGAAAGGAGACGTAAAAGACACATTAAAATTTAATATTAGGCTTATAAAATAAAATAGAAAATTTATGCATGAGATAATACATTTAAAACATCACTGCACTTTGGAATACGTAAAAATGCAAGGTATTAAATATTAAGAAATTTATAAAAAATTTACATGAAGAGCTTGTTTGTAATATTCGAGTATATAACTTTATTTTACGGTTGTTTATAGAACTATTTTACAACATACGTTATATAAATTTTTATTTACTTATAAATTGGTTCAGCTAAAACGACTGTAAAAAAATAGAAAAATCGGTAGTAAGGTAAACATAGTTTATAAAAATAAAAATTCTAATTTATTTATTGATATCACTTTTTAGGGATTGAATTGGCTTATAATTTGTTTTTATCTAAAAGATTTATTATAACATATGTATATTTATACAAGAATTTATAGATAGGTAATTGTAATTTTGATGTTTTGATATTTTGAATGTAATTTATTTATATATTTTCGTCATTATCCTCACACTACAACATAAAATAATATATATTAGAATATAAAGACTAACCTATGTTTATTATAAATAAAATGAGATTTCGGTTTTCATTATTTAGCGGAAACAGTCGTCAAAAATTTAAAAAAATATCAGGTGTTTTCTTATAACATATGCTATATATTTGAAACAGCAATTTATAAAATTTATCTTTGTATCTTATAATATTCTCAGAGTTGTTTAGCTGATACATATCGCATTTTAATATAAAAATAATAAAAGAGTGGAAACAATTGACATCACAAAAGCGTAATGTACGATTTTTCGAATGATGGTTTGTATTAAATTTTTTGTAGAAATAACTTTTAGACTTATTCTAGTACAGGGATCACTAAACTTTTATCACAGCGTGCCACATAACTGAAGGAATAACGAACCCGGGCCGCATAATTATTTTGATCAATACATTACACTGAATACACAAAAAATAAAATCAATCGAAATATTTATTTATCAATACACAAACACGATCGCTGCAGCAAGCTCGTAATCTTTTTCTTAGAAACTTCCTTGCGGGTACTTACACAAAAATCGCTCTGATATCCAAAGTCGTTGAATTTTTTATTTCACTGATTTTCCTAAAAATTAGGCCTACTGTCGAATGCAAAAATCATATTGGTCCACTTCTGGCATTTTCACTTGCACTTATTTTAATTTTTTAATATTAATAGTAAGTTCATCTACAATCTATGATCTTTCCATACAAATAATTATATTTTACCTCATTTGTGGCACAGTGCGGCGGCGGTGCTGATGAACTGACCTCACGGGCCGTAGTTTGGTGATCTCTGTTCAAGAAAATAATTCGATTTATATGTAAAGATCAATACGATTATTCATAAATCCAACGAATTATCTTAATCCAGGTGTTACCATATAGTAAGATGTTAGCCTAACTCACGTGTTCTTAACCTTTTATTCCTCGAACCCCTTTCTAGTAAGGTGAAAATCTCGGACCTCTTCTGGGAATAATGTTTTTATTTGACCCAAGACACAATGTTAATTACGCGATCAGCCATAATTACTCTCAGGACGGTTCTACAGTTCGATGTGGAGTTAGACCAGGGGTTCTTAACCAGAAGACTGCGGGCTTCCAAGACTAAAAACCAATTTTAACTTTTCTATATTTTAAATGTTAATTATTGTGTTAAGAAAGATGCCAACATATTACTAATAAATGTGTTTCTACATTACTAGTTTCTTTTGTAATTTTATTTTATGCATTTAATTAACACGTTTTTTTTAGCAAACGGAAATTTAAATAAATCGTTACTGACGCAATGCATTAAAAAATAAATAAGGAATTTATATTGAATCCATTCTAAAACGTATTAGATGGTTTGCATCGAAAAGAAAAAAATGTTATTTATTTATGCAAAACAAATTAATCGTTTAAAATTATTTTATTATCATTTACCGTTAAAAGTATTACAATTCTACTAGTTTATAGTTTTCTACTTCACAAATTAGAAATTTTACAATATTCTATAATTATTGAAGACAGTTCATAGGATTGTTTACATTGTTGTATCATTTTTTATTTTTTGCAATATCGAATAATGCATTGGGAAGTCGGCAAGCTGTTAAAAATAAAAAAAAAAAAGTTATTAAAATGTCTTTATTTTAAAATACTTTGACACAGAGGAATTATATTTACCTTAGGAAATATTTAATATTCTCGCGCGAGCAATTAGAAAATTTTCTTTTATTTTCACCCTTCTGATCACCCATTACAAATCCATCGCTTCCGGGACAAGCCTTAGCTCCTGGACCTCCGTGGAGACTTAATTCGGGGCCTTCTCCATCGTGCGGGCTGCCAATTCTAAAAAAATATTTGTTAGATGATAAAATGACTTTAATTGTTCTTTGTAATACAAAAACTATTTACAAATGAGCGGATTCGTGAGCTATAATTTCATCTCTGTAAAGAGGATCGTCACCGACAGTAACGGCTCCACATTTATCGCAAGAGTCGCAAGCCGCAGCACCTAAAGGCGCTACCCCTAAATAAATTCAATAAAATATTTATAAGAAAAGCGACGTAATTAAGATTTTATAAGTAAAATTAAATACCTGTTATGCCGGTAAAAAGGTTTCCATCCGGATATAGATTACCAAATGTTCGTCTAAAACGCAGTAAAGCATATATATATATATACAGTATTACCGTTATAATTAAAAGTGCTTTAAACAGATTAGAAAAGTAAGAATAAAATTAATTTGTTACCTAGTTATAAGCATAATTATATTAGCTTTTTTATATTTTTCAAAACCTTTGTCATTTTGGTGTTGACAAAAATAATCCATCATATTTCCTATTAATTGATTGACAGATATAATTCCTTTATGCCCAGGCATTTCACTCTGTTTGATGTAGTTAGGTTCATTTTCTTCCTGAAAACAGAAAATAAAAATTAAAAAAATTGCTGTGTAAAAAATATAATAAAAATCGTCAGTAAAAAAAGTAACATAAAGATTGACATACATTTACTTTGCTTTCGTAACAAGACTTTTATTTTATAAGAAACATTTAATGATAACAAATATTACTATATGAAAATTTGTAGCTAAATAATAAAATTATAACATAACTTTATTATAATTTATTACTTTTATGTAATAAAGGATAACCAAATATTAAATTTTGTAGCACTTGATTAAAAAAGATTACAAAGTTTATAAAAAAGACTACATTAAAATAAAAGTGTCGTCATAATTCGTCCTCTTTCATACGTTGTGAAGAATTTAATTACAATTTGTCATCCTGCAGTTTTATTTGATATATTTCTCAGCTTTCTACTTACATTGTATTCTGTAACTCCAATCAAGCGCACCTTTATTCGCAGATTTAACGTATCCATTATATTTTGAACCTAGAATATATCAATATTATGTTTATTAAAACAAGATAAAATTACTAATTCATTGTATTGATTGTAAAAAAAAACATTAAAACTCTACACGAAAATTCACAAGTAGTAATAAATTATAAAATACGAAGATCTTCAGCTTACTCCCATTACTGCCATAGTTAAATAGACTTTGATTTCTTCTGAATTGGGAAAATGACGAGTAAAGTTACTTTCTGTCACGAATATGTAGTCTAAACCTACACATTGATCATCTTGCATCATCATTAGAGAGTCGCTTGAATATATTTCATGAATACTCGGAGGAATGACTAAAATAGATAAAATTTCAATTACAATAAAAAGTATAGCACAATATTCAAAATATAAATATAGATTTATGATGTATTGAATACTTTCATAACGTACAGTACAGTACAGTACCTGCATCATGGATTCGCTTGTCGTCTTCAGAACGTCTTGTAATGCAGTGAGCGTTCCTCCCGTCTTTAATTTCTTCGTTTGACGAACAAGGCTCAATTTTCATTCTGGAATCTATCAACCCTTTCTGAAAATGCATGAAGCAAATTTTTGTATGAATTTTATAATTACTTAAGTAGCTATATTTATTATATTGTGATACTGATATTGGGATGATTTTAATGAAATTGTAATTCTTAAAGTTTAATTTCTTGGTTTTTTTAATCCTGTGACTTTTAAAAAGAATAAATGTATCAGAACTTTTGTTCTACTTTTCATAAAGATATTCGAAGCTACAAAGCAGCTGATAAAAGCCTCTCCGAGAGCGTTTTGTTGAAGGTGTAATGTATTTAGAAAATTCTTGTCTATTTTATGTATAGAACTGCTTTGAAAAAGAGTAAGAAAATAACAATAAAATTAAATCTAAAGAAACTAATTTAAACGTTAATTAATGAATGTTATAATTTCTTAACAAAAACGAAAACAGAACAACAATTATTGTATTAAATTCAACATCAATACCATCGTGAAAGGAAATTAGACGAAAAAAATGACGCAGATATAAATGCGATCTGCAGCATGAATGTACCAAAGAATAAAACCGCATGAAAATAATATTTATTTTTCGATGAAATTCTTAACCGAAATTGCAACTGTAATTATAAAAAATAGTTCCTATAAGAAAACTAATAATTAAAGCATAAGCAAATTTCGTGTTTTTCAGAGAATATTTGTAGTTCATTCGCATGTAATCAAATATTTATGAAATATAAACTGATTTTAGGATTATTTGAATTGAAGAAATCATTCAACATTTTCGTTTCATAGTCTTTATCACACAACTAGGTGTACGGGTAGATACTTGGCTTTCGATACGAATTTTGGGCATACGCTCCTCATATCCTTACGGGAGAGTGTTGACTGTTATTTAGTGCAGCAAGTCACGATATTTTTTAACGCAATTATGTGTACATTTTAGTAAATTGTGTATAATAGCTTGCACCTTTATGCTAATTGTCTATAAGATAGTGCAGACAAATGAGAGCGTATGCACAAAACACTTATCGGCGTCTAAGATAATGTATCAATATAAAAAAAGAGTGATATAAAAAGTCAAATGTCTACCCGTACACCTAGTTGTGTGATAAATACTAGCAAATAACAGAAGGTTCGTAAAAAACAAATTTTACTCATAAAAATAAATTTATATTTAATTAAACACTTACAATTTCCAAAGATCCTTCTTCATTAATATACACAGCTGCATTATTTTCTTTATTTCTAAACAGCTTGCGTTTTAAGTTTTTCACATCCTTCATCGAGATAACAGAATATAACAAATAAAATATACTAAAATAAATTTAAATTTACGAAATTTGTAAAATACTCGCCTACGTAATATAGACCTAAACAAGAAAATACGCACAGTTTTATGAATTTTTCCGTCTCCGTCCATAGCAGTGAAATCATCCGCTATGACATCGCCAGCCGATTCCAATTTCAATGCTATATCATTGCCAAAAGCACGAAGTGTCAGTATTTTCTCTCCAGATCGTAATGTTTCCAGAGATGGATAAGTTATCTCCGTTCGACCTGACACAGGGTTAGAAAATGGAACGTTGAATTCGAGTTATAACGTATATTTCATATATCATTTAATCCATAAATTAGTGAAGATAAAACGTAAACACTTACCACCAGGAATGGCCAAAACGGGGCAACAAAAGAGAACAGCTATCACGTAACGAAACATGGTTGATTCTCATCAACACTCCAGTCCTTTTATAGGAAGTTTACACGTGTGCTCCCAGTTGTCCTGATTTTGCAACGTGTGTTACAAGGCCGATGACGTCATTTCTAGTCTGGAATGTTTTTTAGTGATTAGAACGCTGGTAATTTTTCGGATTTTATTTATTACCATCTAAAAGCATAGGAAATATTTTCGAAATTACGTTTTTTTTGCTTGTTTCTTAGTTTACCTAAAAATTAAGAAACCAGCAATGATTGAATTTCACATCATTACACGGTTGGTGGAAGAAAACGTGTTACAATATTCCAATTTCTCGTGTTAGTGTATTACAGCCAGTCTCACGTAAGAGTCGCACGAGGCACTCTATAAAGCTTGAAGTTTTCCCTGTAATTGTTAGAAGAAAGTGTCGGTATCTGCAGGAATAATGAGCTTTGCTATTGAAATACCTTTGCCAAAACAGTAGAAATTTTTATTATGAGGTGGTTTGAAAAGTCGAATTTACCAAGGTAATGTTTAATTATTTGCTGGGCTGAAGGACAGGTTAAAACACGAGTCAGTCTGCCATTTTTCAAAACATGCTTCGAGTAACTGTGGACCATGCCGTGTTATGTTTCCAGCATCTTTCTTACTAAAGGTTGAAATATTGAATATACGAAGCATTAGTATGTAAAATTTATTGGAAACGTAATACATTAAATCACTAAAACGTAAAATAAAGATTACACTTATTTTTTTACGAAGTATTTTCGTTTTTTAGCGCACCAACGTCATCTGTTGGCATGGAAATTAACTAACTTTTTATTTGCAAATTTCCAGTCCCATATTATTCCATGTACTGTACAGTACAAATTTATAAATGAAATATTGGAAATTGCGAACGCTTCTGCGAATACTGACCGACTGCGAGAATTATCGAAGACTAAGATTAAGAAAGGGAATTCTCATTGCTGGAGCGATTCCATCCTACGTCCGAGTGATCGTTAAGTGAGAAGTGGCTGTATGTAAATGACCTAAACACAACGTCATTTGTTGTCGCCCAGTAAACTGCTCTAGCGACCGCGGGAATTTCAAGTTCTCTCCCGTAATTTTATTCGGATTCAAAGGGAATTCTATACCATTAATTGCCGGAAATTTCATGGTGTATCTATAATATAATAAAAAATGGTCGGTGAAAAGTTGGAGGAATGTAAACAGAAGATAATATGAACATATTGTGGACTACCACATCGTTGAAAAATCCACAAATTAGGAATTAGAATTAATGATTATAGAAAATTTGCAGAACAGCGAAGAAAAAAAAACTATGAATAGAATAAACACTAAAACAGCAATGACGGCTTACAGACTTATAAAAATATACAGCAATTATTGATATTTTCTGTAAGATGTGGGAATCAGACCCTGTTTCTAAACGCAATCTCAAATTTAAGCCAGCTTTGGAATCAGCTTGGGTCTCATATGCTGAAATCTTTAAACGACACAAATAAAACCGATTGTCAAGCAACATTAACTGGTTTTTAAATCCTTGTAACTCTTCCACAATTATCTCAAAATGTAAGACTAACGTTTTTAATATGATTATACGTATGAATACAATAAACAATAGTTGATATTATTTGCGTGTTGAATCATCTGCAAAAGTTTAAATATTATCGAGACAGCAACTACATTTGCTCGAAGAAACTAACTCAATTTTCTCACCATTTCATATTTGTAAGATTTATTAATATTAAAAATTTAGAACAACTATCAGCACATTTTCTGTTTATAATAACAATAAATAATAAAATATTCAGACAATAAACATCATTTCAGTCATTTCGCTAGCATTAAAAATTCTGAATGGCTCCATTAAAAAAGAGCATATGGAAAGACTTTTATTAATTATTTCGAAATTAACTATTCGCATTGCGATAACAATCCTTTTATATTTTTAAATTGTATATTTACTAACGACAAATTCAAAAGTAATATAATTTCAAAAGCTTTAGTCGCACATTAAAAAGTAAGAATACTTTTAAAATGTTGTTCGTATAATCATTAAAAATAATTACTGTCTATATTGTCTATATTGGGTACAAATATATCTATATAAAAATATATTTTATAAAATTAACGAGGTCGTAACTTAATATATTCTATGTGGAAATTATTATAACTTAGAAAAGGCTAAATGTTTCTCGAATTTTATTGCCTACAATGACCGTATAATTTATTATCTACAAAGACGACATCACATATAAAAAGCCCTGAAGTGTTGATGCGATCAATCATGTTTCGTTACATGATAGTTGTTCTATTTTGCTCTCCTGTTTTGGCTATTCCTGCCGGTAAGTGTTTACTTCCTATCTTCATTAATTTATAAACTAAATTATATAGAAAATATACCTTATAAAACTAATTGAATTTTCCATTGTTTGACACGTGTCAGGTCGAACGGAGGTAGCTTATCCATCTCTGGCAACATTAAGATCTGGACAGAAAATACTGACACTTCGTGCCTTTGGCAACGATATAGAATTGAAACTGGAACCGGCTGGCGATGTTATAGCCGATGATTTCACTGTTGTGGACGGAGACGGAAAAATTCATAAAACTGTGCGTATTTCTTGTTTACATTTTACAGGCGAATATTTTGTAAATTTAGTAATAGAAATTAATTTATGTGTATTTTAATCATAACGTAAACATTGGTGTATTTTGTTCTATATGAAGGATGTGAAAAACTTAAAAAGGAAGCTGTTTAGAAATCATGAAAAGGATGCTGCACTGTACATCAATGAGGAAGGTGCTTTGGAAATTGTACGTGTTTAAAAATAAGTTTATTGTTGAAAATAATATAATTTTGAACGATTTGTCGATTTAAAGTATTTTAAAACAATTAATACTTAGTAAAATTAGTAAAATTTAAAAACATAGTAAAATTATTTTAAATTTAATAAGTTATAAATTACATGCAGATTTACTTGATAGTCAAAAAATATATATTATTCTTTCTTTAATCAAAATTGAAATTCATATTAAATATCTTGCAGGAGAATTAATAGTATTTTGATTAATTTTAACTGATTAACAAAATCAATATTCATCTATATAATGTTGCAGATCATAGAACATCTACATTATTCTGTTCGTGACATTCTTTGATGGAGGCTCGAACGAATCATTTATTTAATAATTTAAAAAGGAAATAAAGTTAAAAATGAAGTCAAAATACAAGAAATAAATGCAATTAATTCAACGAATTTACCTGTCATATATTGGCTACGCGTTTATTTACAATATTTAAGATTGTTTATTGGCTTTTGTTAAGAAATTATTCGTTAATTATTGTGTAAATTTATTTCTTTAAATTTTCTTTTTTTAATGAAAGCCTCAGACAATATTTTCTAAAACGAATGAATATTTTTGTTAAATTTTTTGCAATTTTTCAGAAAGGAATGTTAACTTCCAAATTGAGAATCGAGCCTTATGAATCGCAAGATACAGTCAGAGATGGAATCAAAGCTCATCGTATTACAGAAACTTTAGTAGAAACAAAGCGTTTTAATGATGCAGGTATGTAAATAAAAATATAAATACGCCTTATATCTTTTTAAAGAGGGTGTATTATTTCGTGTAAACATCTGAATTTATTTATTTTCAGTATTTAATTCCAATTTGAATTTATTTTCTGATTACGAGACGAGGGAATTTAATGAGGATCAATGTGTGGAAATAGAATATTTAATTGTTACGGACAGTACAGTTACGAATCGGTATGAAAATTTAGAAAAACTCGAAGCCTATCTAGCCTCTATGTTTGTTAAAGTAAGCTTCAAAATAATCCCAAGTTCTACAAAATATAAAGAATTAATAACGACTTGAGTTTAATACTTTTATTTAATAATATTCAAGGTCCAAAATATGATAGATACACTGAACCTGAATATGAAAGTTCGGTTAATTGGAGTTAAAGCATACACGGTAAGTATTATTGAATACAATACAAGGTAGAAGTATTTCTTTCTATTACCTCGAATACATACCTCGTGTTTAGTACGCGGTATATATTCGATTTAATTTTCTAAGAATATTTAAAGCGGATTCATACTTGTATGAATCAGAAAGAAACAATTATGCTTGTTCTATTTTTTGTAATTTTCATAAATTATTACACTGGAACGCAAGAAAAGAAAAATGTTGTGTTAATGTTAACTTATTCGTCTATCATATATTTACATATATGCATTCATTTGATTTCGTGTTTCCTGTAGGATGAAAATGAACCTGCTTTTGTGAAAGAGAGTTTATTTCCAGGAAAAGATATCTTTCATGTAAATCATATTTTAGGAAACTTTTCAAGTTATTATTGTAAACGTCAAGACGATGAACTTGTAAAACGAGCCGATATAATTATGCTTAGTACGAGGTATGTATTCGATTTAATATTCTGAAAATAATTAATACCATTCATAAATTCTGAGAATCTAAACCAAGAATTATGCTTTTTGTTTTTTCTTTAATTTTCACAAATTATTACCCTCGAACTAAAGAAAAGAAAAATGCGCTGATATTAACTTACTCTTTGCAAAATGTGTCACTCAAGTTTGTAACATGCACAATCTGCCGTTTGTTTATTTTAAGAAGATTATTTTTTCAGTAAAGCTCTTTCTGCGATTTCTTCGACTTTGTCCCTATTGTATCTTTTTCCACGATCAGGAAATGGATTCCTTAAACCCACACTTTTCATCATGGCTCTTTCCCAAAAGACTGAGTTCCGCGTATCTCCACCTCTTGGCAAATAGACACCATTATCTGAATCGAGAATCTATATTTCTAACTATATTTATTGACATCAACGATTTACAACGTTATACAGAACACCTTATCCCGATTAACGATGAAATCAGGACTCCATCACGTGATGGAGTGGCTCGTTGTTTCTGTTGCATAGACGCTAAAGGCAAAGATTCCGACGTTCCAATTCGCTCTTACTTTTAAATGGTTATACTCGTAGAGTTGTATGTCTGTCTGCATTTTATTTAAGAAATTACCACCATTCTTAGCCACATTTTGAAATGATCATGAACATATATTTCACCCTAAAATGCTTCAAAAACAAAAATATGTACTGTACTTCAAATAATTTAGAAAACATACTTAAATGACTTATTGTTCAAGATAAACTGTTAATATTTAATAATGTCAATAAACATTTTTATTATATTGTTAAATATGAGAGGAAAAAATTGTATATGATGCATTTAAAAGTAGAACTTTCTTATACATTACTTCCATATCTGTCGCGAGTAATGAGCAAAATTTTGCGAACTACACCCTTTTTTATTTCTCTTTTTTTAAGTGTAAATCGGTCTTTAAATTTACTTTTGATTTATTTTAGAAGAGCACTTGGTACAACAAATAAAGACGGCAGTATCTTTGATGGTATATTAGGTAGGCGATTTATTATAAAATATTCACAAAAATGAGGATATTTTATTCATGGCATTAATTCATTATGTAAATTAATCTTTGCAGGAGTAGCACATTTAGGAGGATCCTTGTAGCAAATATGGAATAACTGTAGACTTAAAGGATTTTTTAGATACAGCTGATACAGTGGCTCACGAATCAGCTCATCTGTAAATTACTTTCTTAATACGAATACATTTAATAATACTTGTTTCACATAAAATTCACTTTCATAGAATAGGAAGTCCTCATGACGGAGAGGGAATTAAATTAAGCCTGCCTGGCCGTTCTACAGCTGAGAAATGTCCTGGATCTGATGGATTTATTATGGGAGACGATTCCGGAAACAACCAAAGAAAGTTTTCTACTTGTTCACTCGAAAATATTAAATTTTTCTTAAAGTAAATATAACTTTTATTATTTGGATAAAGTTATAAAAATACATTTACCATAAATTAATGATGATAATTTTTTAATTTTTTATTATTGCAGATTGTAAGAAAACTTTCTAATGATTTGAATTACAAGCAAACGGTTACAGAATGTGAAAATCTAAAGAAAGATTATCAATTTTGCTTTTCATCTACGACTTTAAACTCGATATTTTTTGATTGTAAAGATACAGAAATTCTTTTCTATTCAAAATGTAATAAAACTATGCGGTATTAATGGGATTTTAATTATAAATTTGTTTATTTTATAAATATGCATAACTGCGAAAAATCGAAAGTGGCTGGTTTATTATATCTGACCAATAAGAGTCATTGTCTGCTTTTATTGTTTTGGACATTTTGTAAACAATTATAAAATATAAAATTAAAAATTAATAATTTTTATTATTTCGTTTTAAAAAATTGTAATTCTCTAAACAGATTGAAATGTTTAAACAAAGCGATTTTGAGAAACGCTTTAAATATAGTATAAGACCTCTATTTTGGTATATAGCACTAAGGCCGCTTTCGATACCAGAGAAAGTGTAGGCAAAGCTTCAGGGAGCAACATTTAATCCAATATATATATAAAGAAAATAAATAAAGCGATTCCTTCAGTTTGCTTTTTGAGCTGCAATTTAAAAATTGTAGATTTATAAATTCCCACTGTCGTTTGTCCGTTTGTCTGTCTGTCTATCCTTAATCTCTATAACGAAGTTAGATGATTTCCGATACAGACATGCAAACCATAGATGTAAGAGGCCACGATTAACTGTATACGAACGTCCGCTGTAAACCGAAAGAAACTTTACTTAAATTCAAATATTTCACCTAAAAAGTGTTAGAAAGATGATCGGCACGACTCTATTGTTAAAGGAAAAGTATGATGTACAGAAGCAAGACATTACTAATTTGAGGTGGAGATCATATATTTTAAGTTAAATAAATTAAAAACATAATTAAAAATTGCAGTCCGGCATTATGACATGTCACAATAAATAATTGCTCGTAAATATCTTGTATATCCATCCTTCTACAAAACAAATAGAACATACCTCTTTTCACTGTCTAAAGTTTAATGCATCATACTATACATTATCATGTGCTTTCAATTTATAAAGTATTCAATCAAGCCGCTTATTCATTTAAATATAAAAAAGAGTCTACAACTTTAGTTTTGATCATGGGTTGTAGGCTGTTTGTTTGACACATTCGAGTCTCCGTTGTCTCCGGATCCAGGTTCGATCGAATACATTTCAACATTGTGATTCCGCCACGGGACTGTGTAATTATTAGTTTTGCGAACCATTCCTGAATCAATTGCATCATTGTATTGTTCTTTACAAATTCAATTTGTCTGTCGTGAAAGAAGACAGAATATTGATATGAACTTAATAACTTATACGAAAAATTATAAGATATATTCGCGAATTAATTAACTTTAAATGATGTGAGAATCATATTATGAATAGAATAAATCAGTCACAGAACAACAAAATTGTGTAAAACTTAAAACAAAACATGTTTTAAACAGTATTGTATGGTATTAAAAAATTTCTATAACTGTTTGTTTATCTTTATCTCCCGCTATCGGCTTCGGAATTATTGAAAACACTCTCGTAATTTTTGCGTTAAAGCATAATATATTCGTGAAATGTACTGTTCTTCTTGCAGTTGTTCCGGAGAGTCTAACTGGCAGCATTTTCAAGATACAGTTGTATAGTAAAAAAATTAATGAAAACAATCAGCAATGAGTTGCAGAATTTTCCTGGCAACATTTAAAATTTTGATGGCACGATCTGTTAATATATTTTTTTAAAATATTTTTTTATAATTTAACTATTGTAAAATGGCAGAAAGTTTAATTTTGAAGTTGGGGGATGAGTTTTATAAAAAAAATTGTAAATGCTAGCAACGAGTAAAATCGTCATTAAGTCCGGCCCTAGTACACGGCTCCCAATATCTCTCCACTTCCTCGACCTTTAATCAACAAAATTTAATAACATCAATCCCTCTAATACATAATTTTCCCTGCAAAATTTCAAAAATTTTTTTATAGAAAGCTTAATAAGCTCTTTATCAAAAATTGTGCCGCATAAACACGTACACACTAACATCCATATATACAAAAATTCCCCTGAATTTTCTTACATTTTTCGATGTTTCCTAAGGTGTATCCTAATGATTTAGGTCCTAAAGTGTAAAAATCATGGGGGGTCATGTTTTTGTCCGATCGTCATACTTTCCCAGTTATGTACAGTATCACAACTGGAAAAGTAAAAATATTTTGAATTATTTCAAAATATCTTATTAAATTTTTAAAAATATTTAACAAACAAAATAATTATGAAGGTGTTAAATTTTATTTTACTACATAAGTTCTATAAATTGGTAAATAGACATTACAAGTAAGTAATGTTCGAAACTCAATGGGAAAATTTTTTAGTTTATTTAATATGTTTTGCACTTTTACAAACTAGGCTTACTTTAACGTAGAAAAACATTTAAAAAAATTAAGATTTTATATGAAGAAACTCCAAATAACTTTAATGAGATTTTATATTACTTTATACAACTGAAAATGTAATTAAAAAATAATAAATATGTAGATTTTTCATAATAATTAACATTCTAAAATTTGAGACAGATGGAAAGTAACAATTGGTATTGGATGAGAAATGAAATAATTATACTAATCTAGATATTTCATTTGATTTCAGTCTCTATAAATAAAATGAAACTATTGCTATTGCTATAACTAACCATGATCTTTTATCTTGCAAGTATTTTCCTATTTGCAGTCGTTTCGGCCATTCCAAGCGGTAAGATTATTATTATTATTACTATTACTATCCATATTTTAACTGTAATATTCAATTTTGATAATATAAAAATATAATTTAAATGGTATTTTACATAAATTATCTTAAACTTCTGATATTAATATACAGGTCGAGTCGACGTGGTGTTTCCGTCGGTGGAAACATCGCGATCTGGAGTGAAGATAATCAAATTCCGAGCTTTAAACGAGGAAATTGAACTGAAATTAGAACCCGCTGGCGAAATATTGGCGGAAAACTTCACACTTCTTGACGGAAAGAATCAAATACGTCACTCGGTAAGACATTTAGAATACAATGAATAGACATTCATTCATTATTATCTAAATCATGATGCGCGTTAACTCAATTTATCTAAGTGTATTTACTGTATTATAATTAAGATAATTTAGTATTTCACTATAAAATATTTAAATGTTTTAAGATCGATGTAGAAAAGTTGAAAAGTAAACTGTACAGAGACAGTTCTAATGGAGCAGCTCTAAAGATCGACGACGATGGACCTGCCACCATTGTAATTATTTCAGTAATTAGTAATTGTGTCTATCATTATAGAGATTATTATATTGATATTATTTATATATACTTTTAGGAAGGAATTGTAAATTCGAAATTGAGAATCGCACCGCACGAGTCCGGAAGATCAGCTGAAGACGGAAGAATAGCGCATCAGATTGTGGAAGTTATAAGTGACGACGAATCTTTTGGATATGACTCAGGTATAGCCAATAAGAAATACTTTTCCATTATTAATTAATCGTTCAAAGCCTTTTTTTTTGAAATTTGAAAATGTATTGAATTTGTTTTCAGTCATGCGTATAAATGTGAACGATCAAATAGAAAATGTAGCGAGAGTGGCCAGAGACGATCAGTGCATAGTTGTAGAATATTTGGCCGTAACAGAAAGTAATTTTACAAAACGATTCCGAAGTGACAAATATCTAACACAATATATAAGTATATTGTATCTTGGGGTATGATATACATTACTGCACGTTTTTAAATTTAACATAACTGAGTTAAATCATAAATATTTTAACTTTCAATTATAACTTATAATTGTTTTTTTTTCCCTGAGATTTTGCTATTTAAAAATTAGGTGCAAAACATATTCGATACGCTTAAAATGGGAATAAAAATTCGTGTACTCGGAATTTCATCATTTACGGTAATTTAGAAATAGCGAATAATTTATCCAGTAATTAAGACTTAGTTATTTACCTTCGTTTTTAATTACAGAAGGAAACAGAACCGTCTTTCATAGAACAAAGTGCAATTCGGGGAGCTGAAGAATATCTCAATCCGTTTAATTTACTTAATAATATGTTAAATTACTACTGCACACATTATACTGGTTTGGCTAAAGATGCTGATATCATTATGCTCTCTGTTAGGCAAGTATTAGATTATCGATAGCCTATATATAGATTAGACAACAAAATATACTCTACGAAGACCTTTTGGAAGGAAAAATTAAATAAACAGCTTGTTCAATTAATGCGTACGATTTTGGTAATTTAAAATGACCAATTTCAGGCAATCGAAAATCAAAATAAACTAAATAGAACAAATACAATGACGAAATAAAAAACTAAATTTAATTATTAAAGAAACCAAAAACTATATTAGTAATTTACAGACGTTTACATGTAAATTAAACTTTATGTTTTACAGTTTCACTGCTTATTTCAGGCATTGGAAATGGAAAAAAGAATGTCTTTAGCTTGGTAATACAACAACACAAATACAACATACGCATAGATTTATGTACAGTATTACCTTAGCTAGATTCGTCGTGAAAATAATATACAAATCTTCTTGAAAGGAGTCAGGCATTTAAAAGGATCTTACCGACCGAAGATTTGTCTGATCGACAGTCTACAAAAAATCTATAAGTACACTTTGAAAGGCCTATGTATCAACGAGCACTTTTTTTCCATTTCTATTACCCAGAAATAAATTTTATACTTTACAGTTTAATGCCTAATTTATATGTTTACGAATTTAAATTAATTTTATAATTAGATTTTATTTCTTCATTGTACAGTATATGTTCTATTCAGTTTTATTCGATTTTCTGTAGACTAAAGATGGTCATCGAAAATGTCCAAAGACCTTCGCATTTAATAAATAAATTTTTAATTTATTTTTGATGCTAAAAGGTTTTTATGGCGTTTATTTTTTCTACTTATATGGCATTTTAGTATAATTTAATATAACACATATTAGACTTGGAGTAATTATATATATATATTGTTCAGTCGTAGATTGGCCAAGATAATAGACGATAATACTCTTTCCTTAAGTATTGAGGGTAATTATTATCCTGTTTATATCTATTTTATCATTTAATTCATGGCATGTATTTTTAAGTAAATTTGGTTTGTAGGCATTACATATCTCGCCGGGGTTTGTGACTGTAACAAAGTTGGCATTACCTTTGACAACTCGGATTATTTTGAAAGAGTTATTTTAGTAGCTCATGAATCAGCTCATTTGTAAGTGATTTAAAACATTAAATTAGATGTGGAGAACGTTCTAAATCTGAAACAAAATTTTTAATAATTATTCAGACTTGGAAGCCCTCACGACGGCGACGGACCTAATAAGGGACCTGCTGGAAATCCAGGAGCATTAGATTGTCCAAAAACTGACGGTTATATAATGGGAGATCGAAGTGATGATGATAAAAAATATAAATTTTCCGAATGTTCTAAGAGATGCATTGAATACTTGCTATCGTAAGCATAATTTTAATTATCTATATTTGTATATTTCAGAAATAAATATAGATACATTAATGACTAATTTCTTCTAAAAGGCTGCCCCGGGCTTCTTGTGTATTTGAAGACTGCAAAACTTAGTAATTGGTAAATATAACTAAATACACCAATGGAAACCTTGTAAATCCCAGTAAACAATTTAATGCAAACTCGAAAAATTTGGCGCTGTTTTTATGAAAAGACAGGCAATACCAGCATAAATTAGTTAATATTGTATTTGAGGTATATAATTATTTCTTATATTTGTATCGGTTTTAATTATATTCGTGTCAATAGGCAACCTAATTTTTATTTATTCAATTTTATATTTTATATATTAATATATTACCTCAAAAATTTCAAAATTTCGAAATTAGTTCTATGCATTCCAATTTAGAATGTTGTTGACATGAAGCAAATCTTACATTAAATTATTTACTGGGATTAACAAGGTTTTGATTGGTGTATTTAGTTATAGTTATCGATCCAGTTGACATGAAGAAGTTGATTGGTAAATGATAGTGTATTTCAAACCCAAAAAATTATTATTGTAAATTAATAAAGCGTCAATTGTATTTGAAACATATAATCTTTTATTTAAAAATAACTTAAAACGAATAAAATAATTAACAATGCAGTCAAATTTGTTGTGTGCTTTGTTTTTTTTACCGATAAAAAGTAAAGTACAGTATTTAATGAAATGACAATTGTATGCATTAAGACTGTATTTCTGACTATATAAATTATATTAAGAATAAATAGAGTGCGTATAGAGTTTATATTTGAACATAAGTCAATTTAATATATATATAACGTTTTGAATAATGATATCAATATAATCTAATCTATTCTTTAGACTAGTGTTTCGATAGTTCGCCTAATCTTTATTATTCCGTTTTTGGGCTGCAATTTTTTCAAATTGCAGCCCAAAAAACTATAAATTCCCACTGTCGTCCGTCTGTCTTTCCTTAATCTCGAGAAGGTAGTTTGGAAGATGAAATCCGAGACCAAATGTGTAAACCGAAAGGACAGGAAACCTAGAATAATTGTACATAAACATCCGATGCAAACCGGAAGTCACCTTATTTCAATTCAAAACTTTTTTCTGAAAGGAGCTAAGTAGGTGATTGGCACGATTCTGTAGCTAACGGAAAAGTGTGATGTACAGGGGCAAAACACTACAGTACTAATTTGAGGCGGAGTGCATATGTTTTAGATGAAATTAATTAAAAATATGATTAAAAATTGCAGCCCGGCATTGTGACGACGTCAAAATAAAGAATTGCTCGTTTCAATCTGCATAATTACAATCTCGTTATTCTGCCGCATAAGGGATCGTAAAACAGTTGGGTTAATGAGACTGTTAGATTTAAGTATGGTGAATTCAATAGATAATCCAAGTTGGTAGTGTGGGACGCCGGAGGTATGAAGAGGTCGTACCTCTTTTTGTCGGCACCAGTTTGGTGAAAACTGCCCAATCGTCAGTGGATGGCTTGGTTACGTTTACTATCCCGAAGGGTCGGGATTCTTTTTGTCAGGTCGAGTGGAGGAGGAGAGAGGGGTCGTCGGAAAGGCGTCGGCAATAAACGAGCAAAGGAAACTATTTAACAAGAAAATCAAAAATTTATTGAATAACAAAAAGGACGTTTACAATTACAAAAATCAACATAACTTCGAGTTCTCCTAACTTCCGAGTACAAGTTTAAGGGGCCGAGAAGGAGTTTACACGCTTGATATCATACGTCTTACTAATTCCCACGAAGATTCGTATCAATCTTCGTGTTGATGGGGCACAGTGTTATAGAAATCGCGACTGAGATTCGTAGACCGCACAGAGTAAAGATAGCTCGACGATATCACTCCTTAGTATAGTCCGACTTGTGAGAGACTCCTCTGAGGGGGGGCGATGCGGGCTTTTATTAATTTAGCCTGGGAAAAATGTCATGTGATGGACGGGTTATTAGAGCTAGAGGTTATTTTAGCAGGTGTGGAGGTCGAAAGGTGTTCCCGGGACCATAATAAAGTAAAGAAATCGGACGTTAATTGTAAACTTTAAGTCTTGCAATATGAGAATGACATTGTTAGATGGTTGAATGTTTACATTAAAGAGGAAAGTTATAACTTTCTATCGTTGTTGATGAGATATTTGATTTTTTTTCTAACGATGTTATTTTAACGGTAAGGTGATAGTTTTATGTAAAATATGTCGAAAGTTTAGGTGGAAAGTGAAAAATCGGTTTGCACACAGGTCGGATTTCACAGTAGATTTCCATCAAAGTTCATGGGTAAATAAAGCTACCGCAGAAAATTTCGTGGAGAACACAAGAGTTTTAGTAGAATAATCTGGAAGCTGTTTTTTTATTTTATACAGTATTTTGTTGGACACGGTAGTTTTTATTTATCAGCCTGAGATGACGAGCCTAACAGTCTTTACTGATGTCTCAGGCCCCACTAAGAATGCGTCTCTACGATATGGCGATTATATGCCGGTAATATTTCAGAATAGACTAGCTACATAGCTGGATATGTCAAACTTGAATTTTTTAAAGAGGCTGCCTTGCAGGCACTAAAAAAACTTTTTTTTAAAAACAAGCAGTTCAGCCGGTCCCACGATTAGTTCACCCTAATCGTAGGCTGATACTTCAATCTCTCAGCCATCCGGCTGTCTTTGGCTTTCTAACATCGAGAAATTGGAAGTAGCTGACAAAATGATACATTAAATCTTAATAGTTTATAGACTAATAACAAACATGAATAAATCAAATAATATGAAATGAAAAACCATGAGATTTTTTTAAAACTCAAAAAACTAGTAATAGTAGGCAAGATGCCGTGTAAAACAGATTTCAGTAAATGAAATGAATTTAATATGGAAACTTAAAACTGATGGACTGTCTGTACGTAAAACTGCACCAAAAGTTGGCTATCGATTTATAACCAGATACAGAAAAACATGAAATTTCTGATAAAATGTTCGAAGTGCCAGAGTGGAAGATTTTCAAAAGCAAAATTGATTTAAAATGTTCTACATTCATTTATCTGATTAAGGATACTTATAGAAATCGAAGAAGTGAGCAATATCACAAAACTTCTAGAAGTAGATTTTAAGACAGTAAAATAATAATGCCATCTTATATTCAAATAAACAACGAAACAATAAAATGGAAACGCATTTAATTCAGTAAATAAGACCATTTAAAATATACTGCAAAGGAAATTTTATTTAATTAATTTATATTTAGAATAATTAAATAAATTCTCTTTACAATACGTGACCAGCTGTGATAGAAATAACTATCACAGCAATTTCTAGTTTTTGACATTTAATTTTTATTTATCAATAAAAATTAAAATGTTACTGTACAAGAAAAATAAAAATATAGTTTCAAACTTAAAACAATTATAAATAAAATAAACTCATAAAATATGAAAAATTGTGAAAAGAGAAATTTAATTACGAGTATTGCTAATTACAAACGTATAAAGCAAGTCAGTGATAAACTGGATATGAACTGCACTATCTTATCAATTTTTCAAACGATTTTAAAAATAATAAGAACTAAATAATATGAAAATTATTTAAATATTCTGTTAATAAAACTGAATAAAACTGATGAGAACACACTAAGAAGGGATTTTTCGAAATTCCCCCCGAGGGGGAGAGAGAAAGAATTAAGGCTTATCCTAAAGAACTCAGCTTCTACTGTACTATTTTAGATGCAATTTTTTATTTTTAACTGTATTTTAGTAGGGTACAACATTTTTGATTTTTATAAAAGGAGATGGTAACTGCCTCTTTTCGAACATAGCGTACGTTGAATATGGTACTGTTTCGGATCAAATAAGAGTAACGAATAGGCTTGTTTCGTATGTGGCTGATAAGTGACAGGAATTTAGAGCATTTACAGCAACATCTAACGGTAATCCTCACAAATCTGTGAAAAAGTATAAAAATGAGATGGGACGATTGAACACTTATGTGTCCACTGTCGAATTACATGCAGCGTCAAAATTATTTGTGTGTAAATTTGAAATTTATATAGGACATAAATTAAATAACTCTTTTGGAAAGGAAACTTCAAAGGTGGTGAGACTAAGGTTTAATGGAAATAGATATACTGTAATGATCATTTTGATGTATTAATACCTGAACAGGAAGTGATTTATCGAGAGATGAAGCTAATGACAAACAAGCCATTTGAAATAATTTCATAAATATTTGAAGAAATTTCAGCCCAATCGTTAGAATATGATAGAGACTATGTAACTACTAAAATGTTCTGCCAATCAAAATTAAGAAATGTTTGAAATTTCATTACAAGTTTAAATAATATCCGAGACTTGCGAAAATTCTTAATTCATTCAACGTGTTTTACACTTTCAAAGCACTAACTTCTTATAAACTATTGTAAATTACAAGAAAATAAAAATTATATGATTCTATATGAAGAATGCGTAAATAGTTTTTATGAGTTTGGAATTAGTTTGTACAAATAAAAGATATTTTAAAATAATAATAATAATACATTAATGACTTTCTAACAATAAATAGCTTTCTAAAATTTGATACAGGTGGAAACTAACAATTGGAGTAGGATGAGTAATGAATTAATTACAATAATATACATTTTTCACGTCATTCTATTCACTATAAATAGGAAAGAAGAATTGCTATTGCCATCACCAACCATGATCTTCTATCTTATAAGTAGTTTCTTTCTTGCAGTCGTTTCGGCCATTCCAAGTGGTAAGATTATTATTATTAATATTTTAACTGTGAGAATATAATTATTTAAAATAAAAATGTAACAGAATAAAGTTTTGAATAGATTTTCATATATTTCCGATACAGGACGAGTAGACGTGGTGTTTCCGTCTGTGGAAACATCGAGATCTGGAGTGAAAACGGTCAAATTCCGAGCACTGAATGAAGACATAGAACTGAAACTGGAACCTGCCGGCGACATATTGGCGAAAAATTTCGCCCTTCTTGACGAAAACAATCAAATACGCCACTTGGTAAGATAGACATTTTAAATTACACATTTATACGGTCTTCCACTCGAAAAATCGCAGAAATTATTCCCTTGATGTGAGCAGAATCATAGTCATAATAACATTTGATAAAAGGTCCAATTAATGTAATTAAGGCGGAAGAAGAAGCCTAAAAAGAAAAGACCCGCTAAAAATGCTATTTCTGTATTAATTTAAAATTATATTTTTCAATAAAAATAATAACTTTACTGAAACTTATAAAATACTAAATGTTTTAAGGTCGACGTAGAAGACTTGAAAAGAAGAATCTACAGAGACAGCGCTAATGGAGCAGCTCTTCTAATTGACGAAGAAGGACCTGTCACTATTGTAATTATTACGACGAGTAATTTTTTGTGTATATCATACGTAAAAATTTCATTTATATTATCTGTTCATACTTTTAGCAAGGAATTGTTAATTCAAAATTGAGAATTGCACCGCATGAGTCCGGAAGAATGGTTAAAGATGGGAAAATACCACATCAGATTGTGGAAGTTATAAGTGACGAAAAGTCTTTTTTCAAAGACGGAAGTATACATTTTAAACTCTTTTTCATTGTTAATTAATAGTTCTCAGCTTAGGTTTTGACATTTAATAAAATTTTGAAATTTTCCAGTTATGCCTATGGATTTTAACGAAGAAATGGATAAGGTTGCCAGAATGTCCAGAGACGATAAGTGCATTGTTGTGGAATATCTAGTAGTCACAGAAAGTACTTTTACGAAACGATTCAACACTAAAAAAGCTCTGACGGAATACATAACTCTTATGTATACTGGGGTAAGATATAGACATACGTTTTTAAGTTTAATATAACTATTAGATTATAATAATTTAATTTTGGATTATAATTTATAATTTTTTTTTGTCTTTTTGCTATTCATAATTTAGGTACAAAACCTATTTGATACGTTTGAGATGGGAATTCAAGTTCGTTTGCTCGGAATTACATCATTTACGGTAATTTAGGAAAATGCATAATCTATCCAGTTAGGTTTAATTAGATTTATTTATCTTTATTCATTATTACAGAAAAAATCGGAACCACCATACATCGAACAAGGTGCAATTCCGGGACACGAAGAACATCTTAATCCTGATGTATTACTTGACCATATGGGAAAATATTACTGTAAACATGCTACAGGTTTGGCTAAAGATGCTGACATTATCATGCTCATTGTTGCGTAAGTATTTTCTATCGGTATATTATATAGATTAGACGTCGACTAATATATAAGTATATGATTTAGACGAAAATTGGGAGAGCTACAAGATGATGGTACAGTTGATTTTAATACTGCAGGTAAACATATTCCTATTCACTTCTACCTTATATCGTAGTTTTCTTTACCTAATTTTAAGTCAATTTGTTTTGCAGGTATTGCATATCAAGGCAAGGTTTGTAGCAAATGTTTGAAAGTTGGCCTCGCTCTAGACGATTCACGGTACAACGAAAGAGTTGATACAGTAGCTCATGAATCAGCTCATTTGTAAGTGATTTAAAATATTACATTAAATGCTAAGATATTATGAATTGAAATAGAATAATTAAAAATCTTTTTAGACTTGGAAGTCCTCACGACGGGGAAGGACCCGAAGACGGACCTGCTGGAAATCCAGGAGCATCAGATTGTCCAGAAACTGACGGTTATATTATGGGAGATCGAAGAAATGCTGCTAATAAATTTAAATTTTCCGAATGCTCGAAGAAATGCGTTAAATATGTATTATCGTAAGTATATTTTTAATTATCTAAATTTATATATTTTAGAAATAAAAACTTTAATGAGATAATTTTTTCTTAAAGGTTACCTGCGGCTTCTTGTGTATATGAAGATTGTGAATTTTATTAATTGACAGAGAACAATATATTTCACATTTAACAAAATTTACTTTAAATGAAAAATAAATCCGTAAATTAAATTTCAAGTATAACGATATATAATTAATTTTTAATCCAAAAGTAACTTAAAACGAATAAAATGATTAAAATGCAGTCAAATTTGTTGTCTAGCTCCTTATTTTTTGCCAACAGAAAATTTAAATAATCGGTTTTATTTCTTGTTAATATCAACAAATGAATTAATTTAAGACAACATGAGCTATTAATATTCAAAATATCTTCAATATAAAAGCCGTAAAAGTTTATGAATTAAAAATGACATTTCATTGTTACATGATATATTGTGATTCAGTCATTTAACCAGCACTTCGTAAGAAAACAATGGCCATAAGCACATTTATCGAATTAATTGTTATAACATCTATAATACAGGGGTGATCATAACTGAAGTCGGTTTATTCAGAGAACTGTGTACCGATTGACATTGAAATTTGTATATACACTATTGAAAGGATGCGGAAAATGATTTTGCAAAGAAAAATTTTAGTTCCGAAATTGTCCGCTACGGAGTAAATGGTCTTCAAGCGAAGCAACAGAAATACTGTAAAAAAGTATCATGGTGACATATCGATACGTAATATATAGATTGCCTAGCGATGCAGGGAAGTAGTTTAATGTCTTCCCTATCGTTTAGGTGTGAAATTAAAAGACGAAGCACAATGCACGGTGTGCTCAACGGCTGACAGCAACTGTTCCCCGTGATTCTTCGTGCTTGCAGCATAATATCTTTTAAGACTGCCAACGTTGCAGCTTTATCATCGTAAAGCATTCTTTGAATGGTATGGGATCATTTAATAAAATGTATACGTATACGCACATATTTTATCTTCTATGGTATAAACTACACACACACACACACATATGGTACAACTAGCTACATTCATATATGTGCAGTAGTACAGTACATATATTAGTACTAGCTTTGATCTCTCAGAAGGCCAGGAAGGTCATCCAAAAACAAAATAAAAGGATAGTAAGTAATCAATGGTTTTCCTTAAAGTCTGTTCCTTAAAGTCCTTAAAGTTCCAAATGGTTTTCCTCTATTGGTCTGAACAAAATCAGTACAAAATGAAAAAGCCTCTAAAAGATATCTTGTATTAGAGAAGAGACTATTAAGTAAATTAACGAAAAACGCAGAAACACCGATACTCTTAAGTTTATATCATAACAAAGCACAATCGACTGTATCGAAAGCTTTCTTGAGATCAATAAAAGCAGTATATAATTTTCCACTTTTCAGTTATATTTGAATAACACCAACCAAAATAAACAAATTGTATTTGATACCTCTGGTTTTAATAAATGCTCTTTGGAGAGGTGTAACAATATTAAATTCATTCATCCAATTCCGGAGACGATTTTCCATATGGTTGAAAAAACCTTTCTAAATAGGCTTAAAGCAATTGGTGCATAATTAGTTGTCGTCTGCCCACTTCCCCTGTTATAAATCATCCTTAAAGCAATTGTTTCCAAAATAAAGAAAAAGAGCAACTAGACCAAAACGAATGAAACATATTCAATATATCTAGTAATATTTCTGTAGAAATGTATTTTATCGTTTGATTCCTTATGTTATCAAGACCTGGAGAATTAGATGTTTTAAATTTTCTGATTACAGTTTTTAACTCACTTAAAGTGATAGGATCATACAAAAGAAAAAACATTATTACAAAGCTTAAATCAATATAAATTACTGTATTAGGTCCAGCGAAATACTTTCTCAAATAATTCATCCAATCCGAGGAGGTGATAGCATTCTCACAGGATTTATCAATTAGAAATTTATTAACTGATGATCAAAAATCTTTATTATTTTTAGTATTCAATAGTTGTGAGTTTATTTTGGCCAAGAGTAACTTTTTCTTCGCCTTACATAGTGACTTATAGCTTTTATTTAATTTTCAGTATTCGTCCAATACATTTCTAGTTTTATTTCTACGAAACTTTAGTAATACTCGGTTCTTTGTTTTCTTTAAACGTAGATATTGAGGATCAAATCATTGTTTCTCAAATGATAATAAAAACAAATTTTTCTTAACCATTCTACATGGTAAAGCTGAAGTTAACAAGGTCATCAATAGTTCATCATAGTAACTCTGCGCATGCAACAGAAAGGTCCTTTTAACCGTAATATATATCGAACTGATCAGAGATAAATAATTATTCAATTTTTATTGCTTCCATATGTAGCGAATTTTTGGAAGTTTCTGAGTCAATACACTATCCTTCGTAATTCCAAACAATATTAAAATCAGAAAATCATCAAAATTAAAAATATCAAAAACTCTAAACTCTAATAATCTATGTCAGTGGTTCCCAAACTTATTACGCCCACGGACCCCTTCTCATAGCAAAAACCTGACCATGAACCCCAAGCGAAATAACTCTATACAACTACATTATAGTAAAATTTCAAATTTAACTTTGATTTCTAGAATGGTGAATGGTAACGTAAAAATAAAGTACAGTAGAACCTTTATTATCCGGACCTCTATTATCCGAATTTTCGATTATCCGGATTGTTCAAAATAAACAAAAATTTTACGAATTTGCTGATTTGCACTTGGCGAATTATGATACTGTTTATGTACTGTACGTGATGGAATGGATAACTTTTTTGTTTCAACGACGTCTCACCCAGCACAGTGGTTGTAAACTCTTAAATATATTTTGCGTCATAATAAAAATATAACTTCACATACGTATTTATAAATAATTTATATTCAAATTACATCATTTTTATGACCAAGGGCGGAGTATGGGAAATGTGGACCACCACCTATGCCTCGCGGTCCGAAGGGCCTTACGCCTCGAAGGTTTATGCATTACTTAAAAGCCGCGAACGCGACGAAAAAATGTTACTCGTCATAAAACGATAGTTTGTCAAATGTTTATTCATAAAAACGCAGTTTCAACTTTTGCTTTTTATTTTATAAAATCCGTCTTCTTGCCTTTTAAACAATAGGTAGTCTGTTAGCGTTGGTCAGTAGTAGTCCAAATTCAATACAAACGTTTGTTTCTTGAAAATTTGATCACAATTTAATACATTACTTACTTTTAATATTACCGATATGTCATCGAAAAGAAAACGTGTTGTATTATCATTAAAAGACATTGAAGTATTTGTTTCGATTATCCGGATTTTTCCTTATCCGGGCTACCTTCATTCCCAATTAGTCCGGATAATCGAGGTTCTACTGTATAAACAAAACATTTTTATATTTAAAGTAGTATTTATTCAAATTATAAATTTTGTTTTAAAATACAAAAGCACGTTATTTTTTAATGAGATGAGTGAATCTGATGAGATGATATGAGATTATTTAGGTTCGACTCGATGTTTGTGAGTAACATTCGTAATTCTCCACAAGTACTAATTTGCAGTCGATTTTTTTTCGTGATGAGATTCATAACTGTGCTAATCCATGCTCTACTAAATAGGAAGATGGAAAAGCAATCAACAGCTTCTTTCCAGTGGCCCATAATGCAGGATATAAAATTGGTATCTGTTTTCGTAACCAGAATTTGTGGTATCCTTGTTCAAACATTGGTTTTAGCTCCTCATTTGTGAATAATTCAATAAGTTCCTCCTGTATTAGTATGGCTTCATCTGAGTTTGTGGGTCTACTTGCAAAAGGGTCCAACACCCAATCGGGGATGCCCAAGTGAAGAATATACTCAAATCTTTGGCTGAGGTCAGAATGAAGAACCGTTAAGTGTTGACAATAAACAAGCAAATCATCATCTCGTTTTTGCAATTTTGGAAGATTTGGAAACTGAGAGCATTCTCCTCTCCCCAAGTTTTGTTTCTATAAAAAACGTTTTGCAACAAACAGATATTATACTTTCAGATTTGATTAAATTTAATTGATCACTTTGTAACTTCAAATTGGTTTTATCAAATTTGGCAAATAAGTCATACATATATGACTTATTTGCCAAATTTGTCATTTTTTGAATTAATTAAATTGAGCCGCAAATCATTGTCTTTGCTGTCCAGGAAGTCCAACACTGAATCAAAGAGTGCATAAAATCGATCCAAACACGCACCTTTAGATAACGAACTTCCGTGTTAAGTAGTAAAAGATTATAATCTTCATCATTTTCTAAACAAAGTTGAGCAAATAATCTCTCATTTAAAACATTCCTTTTGATTCTATTAATTGCCCGAATGACATAGTCTAGTGAGCCATGCAAGCGTTCACTAAGGTTTTTGGCGACTAAATGATATTGGTGAATGACACAATGTACAGAAAATATATTTGGTTTAGCTTGTTTCAGGTATGCCATAAAGCCTCGGTGTCGTCCTACCATTGCCAGAGCACCATCAGTAGTAACGGAGAAGATATTACTCAAGATTATATCTTTTGCATCGAAAAATGTTTCTAATTCATTAAATATTGTTTCATCTTTTGTATCAGTTTCCAAACATTTCGCAAATAACAATTTTTGGGAAATATTCTTATGTTTTTACAAATCTTACATAAGCTAAAAGTAATGCTTCGTTTCCTGGCAAAGTTGCCTCGTCAAGCTGTATAGAGAAATTTGTTGTATGTACTTCACATCACGCACAAAACAGAATTAAATTGTTGATCAGATGCACAACTCGCCTAGTGTCATATTTTAGACAAGTTATTGTAACGGCGAGATTCTGTTCATGTTCAAATCTGCATAGATAGGCGGCCGCGGTCGGCTCGACTCTCACCGTGCGATGCTTGTCATTACTTGTATTTTGTATTTTATGTATCTATATACTTATTTTACTCATAATGTAAAAATGGCTACCAATTTATTTATTGCTATTTATTTTTAACTATCCTAATAATGAAAATGGGTCACAAATATTTTACTTTATATTAAACTTTTCGCAGACCCCCTGATGTTATCCATGCACCCCCAAATTAACTTTTATTTGCCACAGACCCCCAAAGTGGTACCAAGGACCCCTGAGGGTCCGTAGGAACCACTTTGGAAACCACTGATCTATGTAATAAATTTACAAAAGTGTGAAATAAATTCATTAATTGTAAAAATCCTTTTCCTCTTTGGTTTAATATTAAATTATTAGTATTAAAGTCAGCGTAAAATTTGGTTCTGTCTTTTGAAATAACTATATTACCCCGAGAAAAATTCCTCAACAAATCTTCCATTTTAGCTAACAATACGTCATAAAGATCTATTCTCAAATAAACAAGAACAATTATCAAGCTATAATTAAGTGAATAGAAGTTCTTCCTGCAACTAAATCTAATTACTCTCAGATCGTCGGAGTTAAACAACATTTGCAAAAAACCTAGTTTATGGGAAACTGCAAGAATGAGACCGCCATACGGCCGGCTAGAGTCAATTGTAAATAAGCTAGAATAAACTGGAAGAAAAGAATTGGTCCGTATTAAACGTCGAAGGTTATGCATTAGGCTTGTATACCCTGGAAGAGGAGATCGGGCCGAAGGTCCTGGTAGCGTAACTGGCAACATAGCGGCATGGTAAGCGGGATATGTGGGTTCGGGTCCTGCTTCAAGCAGATTTTTTTTTCTAGTTTATTCCAAATTAATTAATTATTATTATTAAATTTAATACGAGATGATGCCTAACGCCTCCCTCTAGTGCCAAATTATTCATAATTATATCCAAAATATATCCCGATTATTTACGGCAGTTGTGAGAGTCTATTTGGAACCAATTGATTTTTTTAGCAAATTTTTCGTATTTGCTAAAAATTTGTTCGTATTGAATCTAGATTTATTTTTATAAATCTGGATTCAACAAAGAAAAGACCTGTTTATAGAAATTAGTTAACCAATTCTCAGTGAAAGCAACTAAATCATAATTTTGAAAAATATATAAACTCAGTAATTCACTATCAAGTCCAACGTTCCTTGACAATTTCAAGACAATATTCTCATTACTAAACTTTTATTCGTATGATTAGCAATTGTACCAATTAATTTTTTTGCTGAATTTGTCTAAAAAACTATTAAACTTGTGTAGTTCATTCGTTTCTAAATTGTAAGCGAACTTGTCACCATTAACCTTTAAGCAATCATCTTTCAGAAAGGCTTTTTTTATTCAAAGATTTAACTTCCACATAAAAGGCACAACATTTTAAGACTTGATCTACAGCACAAATCGTAAAAATATTTTAATGCGCGAGAAGGAAGAAAGCAACTCCTGAATTGTCTTTAAATTGTTAAAAATAAATATTTTATCAGCTTAAGTTTAGAGCTCGAACAATGTGATATCCGATATTCGATAACTGTCAATAAAAGGAATAGACTCCCCGTACTCTCTTTTAAACAACTCAATAAAACCATTGGCATTATTAAATAATTCTTCGTCGTTACCACTCAAATCGGAAACGATAATGTTATTTTTATTGGAATCGTTATAACAGTCTATATAATAATTCTGAAAAGAGAAATTATCCATACATACAGTTCTAAAAGTCAAAAGATCAGTAACTTCTCCTTTCAGGCAGATTAGAGGTTCATCATACTCCTTTTGTGAATTAGACAACCAGTAAAATATCGATGACAATTCTTCCAGTTTCGATAGAATAGTATTGCAGCGTTCCTCGAGAAAACGTAGAATCTTCTTAGTAATTTGAGAAGAAATAACCTTCGATGCAAAATAATCGTTCAATCGACATGATTTCAATGTTGCTTCGGTTGGAAATCGACGACATTTACCAGCAGAAATCAAAGCTTTATTGCGAGGAGAAAATAGTATACGAGATATTAGACCTGGATTAAGTTCAACTCCTCCAATATTAAGTAAAGAGAACAGAATTAAAAAAGAAAGAAAGTATGACGGGAGAAAAAGGCATCTTCAATAAACTCAATTACTGGGAATCGGTAGCAGTAAGTCGTAAAACACGCCAACAGCCAGCACTGTCGATAGCGCCTCCCTCTTACAAAAATATATAGCATTATTGATAGCTTCTGTAAGATGTTGCGAGAATCAGACCTTATTTCTGAGCGCAATCTAAAATTTAAGCTCGGTTTGGAAGCAGCCTGTGTCCCGTATGCTGAAATCTTAAACGACACCAATAGAAAAGTTCGTCTAGCATAATTAACTGTTACATTACATTACTTTACAATTACATTAAAATGTAAAACTAATGATTTTAATATGATTAAATGTATGGATACAATAAACAACAGTTGATATTGATTACAGTAATACCCCGAACTTACGCGATAGATAGGACCGAGCGATAACCGCGTAAGTCGGGGTATATTTTCGCTATTCGTGTAAAATCCAAGTCGAATGTATGTAAGCTAATAAATGTTCTCGTTAATCTTATAAGTTATCTCGTCTTTTGATTCGTTCACGGTTACAAGAAATCACCACATAGAGTCTCTCAAGGCTCCGTAGATATAACAAACACAGAAATAAATAACAAAATAAATTGTAGCTATGTGACGATTCCGCGTGACACGTCCGAACATGTAAGCCGAACAATATTGTGGAGGGAGTGAGTAATCAAGAGTTTCGTGGCGCTCAAATTCATATCTGTCTTTAGTTGGACTATTAAAAAGAATGATTCTGTATAGACCCAAATTATTTGTATAGTCATAATTTTGATTTAATCAACAAATTTATCCTTGGAACTTTGTTAATAACAGTTGATATTATTTGCGTGTTGAATCATCTGTAAAGGTTTAAATGTTATCGAGACAGCAACTAAATTGGACCGAAGAAACTAAGGCGATTTTCTCACTAATTAGTATTTGTAAGATTTATCAATATTAAAAATTTTATAAATTANTCATCTGCAAAAGTTTAAATATTATCGAGACAGCAACTACATTTGCTCGAAGAAACTAACTCAATTTTCTCACCATTTCATATTTGTAAGATTTATTAATATTAAAAATTTAGAACAACTATCAGCACATTTTCTGTTTATAATAACAATAAATAATAAAATATTCAGACAATAAACATCATTTCAGTCATTTCGCTAGCATTAAAAATTCTGAATGGCTCCATTAAAAAAGAGCATATGGAAAGACTTTTATTAATTATTTCGAAATTAACTATTCGCATTGCGATAACAATCCTTTTATATTTTTAAATTGTATATTTACTAACGACAAATTCAAAAGTAATATAATTTTAAAAGAATTAATCTCACATTAAAAAGTAAGAATAATTTTTTAAATGTTGTTTATATAATCATTAAAAATAATTACGGTTTATATTGACTGCAAAAATAGCTATATAAAAATATATTTTGTAAAATTAACGAGGTCGTAACTTAATATATTGTATGCGAAAATTATTATAACTTAAAAATTCTAAATGTTTTTCGGATTTTTATTATCTACAAAGGCTGTATAATTTATCACCTTTAAAGTCGACATCACATATAAAAAACCCTGGAGTGTTGATGTTGATCAACCATATTTTTTTACGTGATAGTTGTTCTCTTTTCTTCACCCATTTTGGCAATTCCTAGTGGTAAGTGTTTACTTTCTATCTTCATCAATTTATGGATTAAATTACATAGGAAATATACCTTATAAAACGAATTAAATTTTTCATTTTCTGACACGTGTCAGGTCGAACGGAGTTAACTTATCCATTTCTGGAAACATTAAGATCTGGAGAGAAAATATTGACACTGCGTACCTTCGGCAATGATATAGAATTGAAACTGGAACCGGCTGGCGATGTCATTGCCGATGATTTCACTGTTATGGACGGAAATGGAAAAATTCATAAAACTGTGCGTATTTCTTATTTACATTTTGTAAGCGAATATTTTGTAAATTAAGTAATAGAAATTCATTTTTATGTATCTTAATTATAATGTAAACATTGAAGTATTTTATCTCTATGAAGGATGTGAAAAACTTAAAAAGCAAGCTGTTTAGAAATAAAGAAAAGGATGCAGCTCTGTACATCAATGAGGAAGGACCTTTGAAAATTGTACGTGTTTAAATATAAATTTATTGCTGAAAGTAAAATAATTTTAAATTATTTGTTGAATTTAAGTATTTTAAAACAATTAATAGTTAATAAAATTATTTTAAATTTAATAAGTTATAAATTACATGCAGATTTACTTGATAGTCAAAAAATATATATTATTCTTTCTTTAATCAAAATTGAAATTCATATTAAATATCTTGCAGGAGAATTAATAGTATTTTGATTAATTTTAACTGATTAACAAAATCAATATTCATCTATATAATGTTGCAGATCATAGAACATCTACATTATTCTGTTCGTGACATTCTTTGATGGAGGCTCGAACGAATCATTTATTTAATAATTTAAAAAGGAAATAAAGTTAAAAATGAAGTCAAAATACAAGAAATAAATGCAATTAATTCAACGAATTTACCTGTCATATATTGGCTACGCGTTTATTTACAATATTTAAGATTGTTTATTGGCTTTTGTTAAGAAATTATTCGTTAATTATTGTGTAAATTTATTTCTTTAGATTTTCTTTTTTTAATGAAAGCATCAGACAATATTTTCTAAAACGAATGAATAATTTTGTTAAATTTGCTGCAATTTTTCAGAAAGGAATGTTAACTTCCAAGTTGGGAATCGAGCCTTATGAATCGCAAGATACAGTCAGAGATGGAATCAAAGCTCATCGCATTACGGAAATTTTAGTAGAAACAAAGCGTTTTAATGATGCAGGTATGTAAATAAAATTATAAAAACGCCTTATATCTTCTTATACAGGCTGTATTATTTCAGGTAAACATTTGAATTTGTTTATTTTTAGTATTCAATTCGAATTTGACTGTATTTTCTGACTATAAGGCGAGGGAATTTAATGCAGATCAATGTGTGGTAATAGAATATTTATTTGTTACGGACAGTACAGTTACGAATCGGTATGAAAATGTAGAAATACTCGAAACCTATCTAGCTTCTATGTTTGTTGAAGTAAGTTGCAAAATAACTCCATGTTCTACAAATTATGAACAATTAATATCGACTTGAGTTTAATATTTTCTTTAATATATTCAAGGTCCAAAATATAATGGATACACTGAACCTGAATATGAAAGTACGGTTAATTGGAGTTAAAACATACACGGTAAGTATTATTGAATACAATACAACGCAGTATTATTTCTTTCTATTACTTCGAATACATACCTCGTGTTTAGTACGCGGTATGTATTCGATTTAATTTTCTAAGAATATTTAAAGCGGATTCGTACTTCTAAGAATTAAAAATAAATAATTATGCTTGTTGTATTTTCTGTAATTTTCATAAATTATTACACTGGAACGCGAGAAAAGAAAAATAAATGTACTAATGTTAACTTATTCATTTATCATATATTTACATATATGTAATCATTTGATTTTGGGTTTCCTGTAGGATGAAAGTGAACCTTATTTTGTGAAAGCGAGTTTATTTCCAGGAATAGATATTTTTGAAAAAAATGTGATTATAAATAAATTTAAGAATTATTATTGTAAACGTCAATACGATTCATTTGTAAATCGAGCCGATATAATTTTGTTTATTACGAGGTATGTATTCTATTTAATTTTTTTGAGAATATTTAAAGCCAATTGATAAATTTTGAAAAGAAAAAATGATGTATGCTTTTTATCTCTTTGAATTTTCACAAATTATTACACTCGAACACAAGAAAATAAAAATGCGCTCATATTAACTTACACTTTGCAATTTGTGTCACTGAAGTTCGTAACATGCACAATCCGTCTTTCGTTTATTGAAAAGCTTATTTTTCTGGTGAAGTTCTTTTTGCGGTTTTTCCGACTTTGTTCGCATTGTATTCTTCTCCACAGTCTGGAAATTCATTCCTTTTGACGACACTTTCCATTCTGGCCCTCTTCTCAAAAAACTAAGTTCTGCGCTTTTCCACTTCTTCGCAGATAGATACTATCAGCCTAATCGAGAATTTGTATTTCTAGCTATATTTATTTACATCAACTATTTACAGAAAACTCTTTACAACGGCATATAGAAACACCGTATAACTAATCACACTAGAGTTCCTGAATATTCCGCCCGTCATCGTTTTGCTTCTCACGAATACAGTTTTTTTGGTTGGATGTCCCAATTAACGATAAGATCAGGAACCAACCATTTGATGGAGTGGCTTGTTTATTGTGTTGCGTAGACGCTAGAAACAAATATGCCGAAGTTCAATTCACTCTTAATTCTAAATGGTTATAGAGTTGTTTATATGTCCGTCTGTTTTCTACCTAAGAAATTATCGCCATTCTTAGCCGCATTCTAAATTGATCATTCAACATACCTAAATGGCTTCTAAAACGAAAATATATACTTCAAATAACTCAAAAAACATATTTGAATAACCCTAATCTATTATTCAAGATAAATAGTTAATATTTAAAAATGTCAATAAACAGTTCTATTTTATTGTTAAATTTGAAGCAAAACAAAAATTGTATATGATGCTATTAAAAGTAAAACTTGCTTATATATTACTTCCATATCAGTCGCGAGTAATGCGCAAAATTGTACGAACTACAGCCTTGTTTATTTCTCTTTTCTAAGTGTAAATCGGTCTTTAAATTTACTTTTAATTTATTTTAGAAGAGTAATTGGTGAAAAAAATAATGTTGGCTGGATCTTTGATAATTTATTAGGTAGGCGATTTATTATAAAATATTTACAAAATATGAGATTTTTTCACGATATTGATTGTATTATGTAAATTAATCTTTGCAGGATTATCATATTTTGGAGGAACATGTGATCCTTGCAGAAAATATGGAGCAATTGTAGACTTAGATAAACTTTCCGATACAGCCTCTATAGTGGCTCACGAATCAGCTCATCTGTAAATGACTTTTTTAATACGAATACATTTAATAATACTTGTTTCACATAAAATTTACTTTTATAGTATTGGAAGTCCTCATGACGGGGCGGGAGTTAATTTAAGCCTGCCTGGCAGTCCTGAAGCCGACAAATGTCCTGGATCTGATGGATTTTTTATGGGAAGCGATTCCGGAAAAAACCGAAGGAAGTTTTCTACTTGTTCACTCGAAAATATTAAATTTTTCTTAAAGTAAATATAAATTTTATTATTTTTTGGATTTGGATAAAGTTATAAAAATACATTTACCGTAGATTAATGAGAATTTTTTAACAGCAAAAAAGAGGCCCGTTGCATTATTACAGATTGTAAGAAAACTTTATAATGATTTGGATTACAAGTAAAACATTTACAGAATGTGAAAAATCTAAATAAAGATTATCAATTTTGCTTTTCATCTACGACTTTAAACTCGATATTTTTTTATTGTAAAGATACAAAAATTCTTTTCTATTCAAAATGTAATAAAACTATGCGGTATTAATGGAATTTTAATTATAAATTTGTTTATTTAATAAATATGCATAACTGTGAAAAATCGAAAATGTTTGTTTATTATATCTGACCAATAAGAGTCATTGTCTGCTTTTATTGTTTTCGACATTTTATAAACAATTATAAAATATAAAATTAAAAGTTATAGTTTTTATAATTTAGTTTTTAAAAATTGTAATTCTCTAATCAGATTGAAATGCTTAAACAAAGTGATTTTAAGAAACGCTTTAAATATAGTACAAGACCTCTATTCCGGTATACAGCACTAAGGCCGTTTTAAATATAAAAAAAAAAATTGCAGACATTGCTTCAGGAAGCAATATTTCATTCAATATATATTTAAAGAAATAAATAAAGCAATGATTGCTCCAACGTGTGAAGATTACCAAATTTATTTCAATAATCAAAAGCTATACATTTTCCTTTGCATGATTTCGAAGTCTTCTAATGAAGGGACTATTGGAAACAATCTGATGGTGTTTTGAAATAGAATTAAAATAAATATTTTACATAGCATAATTAAGATCGATACATTGCATTATCGCCATCAACTACTTTCGGATTCTGATTAGACTCGAGGAACACACGATTTGTTATGTTCACGAATGTAAAACCAGGTAATGAAACCGTCATTCTTATATTTCGGTCGATGAATATCGAAAATTGGTCTTTCTCTGGAACTGATCTTGTCTCCCGTTACTTGGACATAGAAATCAATAAAGCCGGGAATTGGAAGTAATATGTTACTTCGCAGACCCACTCCTTAAGATTCCAATTTGTTTTTCTAAGTGAACAAGTTCAACTGTAAAGTGACACACCTCAGTTTTTTCTAAACTTACGTTTCTCTCCTCAACACTTTTTCCTTCTGAAACTGCTTTCCCCTCCATTTCTCACAAACTTGCCACTTTATTACTTACTGATTAAGTTTTGCAAGTTGAGAGACAAAACACGAAGGGTATTGGTTTCTTATTATTCAATAAAACATTGGTAAATTTTCTTGAACATGATTTGTTAAAAGGTGTTAGCCACACCTTGTTCTACTTGCTTGATTGGGCATTCTTCTTGGTCACGCCCTTCATAAAGCGTATTTGCCGTGAATCGTTACCGACCTATATCAGAATCGCGAATCAGAGATAACAAATATATCTAAGCGATCAATCTGCAAGCAATGAACATTAATGTCAAGTAACAGTTATAATAACTATTATAACATTTAACCCTTCATTATAAGGCTTCTTTCGAAATCAAGCCAAGAAAAATGTATAGCTTTTGATTATTGAAATAAATATTCATTAGAAACTGAAAAAAAGTGTGTATATTTATTTTGTTTTAATATGCCAAAAATGGTTCCTGAATGGCATCTTTCCCGGATAAACAACTTTAGAAGCAACTTTACGCCTGCAATGATGGCTTTCCCGTAGAAATTTTATGTGATGCTCTGGAAGCTGCCATTCGTAGGTCGTGTCACATTAGCTTAAAAAATAATTAAAAATTTATAAAAGGAAAATAAATGATATAAAAATAGTTTTTACATAATTACAAGTAGTATAGAATTAAACTAATAACATATGTCATACGTGGATATTTACAAAATATAAAAGGCCGATTCGAATATAATATGAGTATATAATCGATATAATGAAAACATAATTGAATACAAAAAGATCTGTTTGTAAAATGGCAATATATTTCATTAATATAGATATAGGGGAGACCGGGGCAACTTCGGCATGCGGGGCAAGTTTGTCAAGCGCTTTTTTTCAAAAACAAATTAAAAGAAGACTTTGGTTATAGGTTAGGCAGTTGAGTTTTATTGGTGGCTTGTTGAGTGTAGTGTTTTTATTGTTCTCCAACAAGCGTAGTTGAATTAATAAGCAAATTTTCATTTTCGTTCAATTCCATATAATATTTTTTTTCCATTTATATTGAATTGGCAGGTTTTGTTATAATTCCATGATAACGAAAGTTACTTTTCCTGTTAGAAGGATGTAACTTCAACTTATTCACGTGGCCAGATCGTGGCTTGGCATTCTGTTCTCAGGGTTGTACTTAATGTTTCGAAATCATGACTAGCGGGGTAAGATCGGCAACATAAAGCCACATTAGAAGCAAAGGATAAAAATCAAACAGATGATAAATGAAAACATGTTTGCATTTGTTATTCATGTATATATGTCTTTGAACTTGCATTTCGTTGTAATAATATTAAATGGGTGTTGGATTTGTATTTCTTTGTTTTAATAGTGAATTCCAACTTATACATTGTTAATAACATAATTTTATATACGTGCCTATCTTGCCCCATTACTGTTGCCCCTATACCAGGGGCAACTTTAATAAAAATAATTAAAATAATTACAACTTTACAAAAAGAGAGAAGTTGCCGATCTTGCCCCTATACCCGGGGCAACTTCGTCAATTTCTCTCTTCTTGTAAAGTTGTAATTATTTTAATTATTTTTATTTCCAAACTGATTTTAACCAGTTCTATAGTAAGGTAACATTCCAATAGACAATATGCAACGCTTTTTTTTCAGTTTACAGCAGTATTCATTACAAAAAATGTAAGTAAAGCTTAACATGCCGATCTTGCCCCGGTCTCCCCTAATGATGAAGTGATATGAAAACATTTTTTTCAAACTTGAACTCTATAACACTGTTCTGCAAAAAAAACTTTTTTTCTATTTCTGAAAAATGCATTGTGTTCCTAGTTGTACTTTGAGCGCAGAATTCAAACCTGTTTTTAGTTTTTTTCTGTCAGGGATAGTTTATGAGTAATCACAATTTTATTTTTTCTTTATGTTTCTGATATAGTGCAGGACACATTAGCTGAAATTCAAGAAACAAATCAGCTTTTTAATGATGTTATTAAGTTCATCACATTAAAGGAGGTTGGGATCTAACATATAACACAGTATTCTTAGTGTATTTGCTTTGTAGTATTTATTTCATATGAGCAATTACAGAAAAGTGACAAAAAATGAGCCACCATATAGTAATGCACATCACTTTTTCTCTTGTATTGAGAATCTTTCTTCTCTCGAATGATATTCCAGCAATAATCTGCTAACATAGAAGGTACCCACTTCTCTTCATAACTCCTCTCTATAGTAGAAATGTCTTTATGGAATCTTTCGCCATGTTCATCCGATACGTCACTACAACTCTATGAAGTAGTTCAGATGAGTCCATCATATGTACAGTACCTTCAGAGACATGTTGCACCCCAAATCTTGATATGCTTTGATCATGTCATTCACCATTGCTTTGTAGTTGGTAGCTCTTCTCCTGAGGAAGTTTTCTGATATCATCTCGAAACACTCCCATGCTCTTTTTTCTTTGGCAGTTAAACATGCTTCAAAATTTGCATCTTTCTGCAGCTCCTTGATTTGCGGGCCCATACATACACCTTTCTTTATTTTTACAGCTGAAAGATGGGGAATTTGTCAGCTAGATATGCAAATTCACTTGGCTCCACATGGATCCAGCAGGCACAAGGCCTGTTGGATCCATTGCCTTTATGAATTGTTTCATTAGGCCAAGTTTGATGTGAAGCGGTGGAAGTAGTATATCTTCAGGAGCTACCAGACTTTGACGTTGCACATTCTTTTCGCCCACTTTCCACCTCCGCTTAGGCTATTTCTTTTACACGTAGTTAGAATTTCTGTCATGACTATCTCACTCGCAAAGAAAACATGCATACTTTGTGTAGCCTTTTGCATTCCCAATGTCATAGCAATTACTTTGAAGTCTCCACATATTTTCCATTTGTATTCATTGTACTGTAATGAATTTAGCATCTTTCATAAGAATTTGTAATTCTCTTTAGTCAAGCTGGTGTAAGCAATTGGAACAGAGGGCATTTTATTTCCATTGTGGAGCAAAACACCCTTGAGACTTGTTTTCGACGCATCTATGAAAAGTCTTCACTCCTGTAAACTGTAGGTGAAGTTCAGCACCTTCATTAGGTCAGCAACATCATTGTCACGTTCAATCACTACTGCATGCGGCAACATATACATATCTCTGTATAACGTCCCTGTTGCCATGAACTGTGAATATATACATATATATATTCACATACTATGTGAATTGTATGTGAATATATACAATTAAGATGTAATTGGAAGTCCTCATGACGGAGAGGGAGTTAAATTTAGCCTGCCTGGCAGTCCTGGAGCTGAATGTCCTGGATCTGATGGATTTATTATGGGAGACAATTCCGAAAACAATCGAAACAAATTTTCTACTTGTTCACTGAAAAATATTAAATTTTTCTTAAAGTAAATATAAATTTTATTATTTGGATAAAGTTATAAAAATACATTTACCGTAGATTAATGATGATAGTTTTTTTAACAGCAAAACCAGGCCAGTTACATTATTACAGATTGTAAGAAAACTTTATAATGATTTGGATTACAAGTAAAGCATTTACAGAATGTGAAAACCTAAATAAAGACGATTAATTTTCTTTTCGAGTAATTGCTTTTCATATACGATAAACTCTTAACAATTTTTGATTGTAAAAGATACAGAAATGCTTTTCTATTTAAAATATAATATAACTATTTGGTATTAATGGGATTTTAATTATAAATTTGTTTATTTAATAAAACTGCATAACTGTGAAAAAGGAAAGTGTTTGGTTTATTATATCTAGCAAATAAGAGTCATTGTCTGCTTTTATTGTTTCGTCATTTTGTCACTATAATTTTCAGTATTTCGTTTTTAAAAGTTGTAATTCTTTAAACAGATTGAAATGCTTAAACAAAGCGATTTTGAGAAAGTATATAGTACAAGGCCTCTATTCCGGTATACAGCACTAAGACCGCTTTTGATATCAGAAAAATTGCAGGCATTGCTTCAGGAAGCAACATTTCATCCAATATATATTTAAAGAAGA